GCATCCTCCCTGCGAGGGTGGGAGCTGGTGGCAAAGAAGCTCAGGGGACATAGAGGTTCAGGGGTACCCCACTGCATCCCAGCAAATCTGTGTGTACCACCAGGGTCTTGTTTCCAGGCAGCTAAAAGGTTTCATTTCCTTGTCTTTTAGGCTTTGAAAAGGAGATCTCCAAGCAGACGGAAAAGGATGGGCCTGGCATCTTCCCTGTGAGTGCCTCTCGCTTCCTCCTCCCTCGCTCACCGGCAGCCTTAGGGTGGCCGTGCCAGTGCTTGGCATGGCCGTGGGGTGCTGTGGGGCTGGTGCTCCTGCCCCATAGCTGCTGCCCCTCTTGCCGTGCAGAGGGCTGGGGGAAGCTGCAGCCAACATTGCTAAATCCAGAGGGGCTACCAAAACCTCTGTGAAATGAGTTTCTTTGGGACCTAAATTTCTGGAAAAGCCCACGTAGGAACTTGATAAAAACAGTGGAGACGTCCCAGTGGGCCAGGAGGAGCCTGTCCCTCCTAGGTGGGTGCTGATGCTTGCAGCAGGGAGGGATGCTGGGGCTGGGGAGGAGCCAGGGTTGTGGCGTGGGAGGGCAGTGAGGGCCAACACGGTGCTTGGATGTGGCACAATGACAGTGAAAGGGCAGAGGGGATCACGTGGAAGGGACAAGCTGCAGGACAGGGGCCATGTCTCACGTGGAGGAGCCCAGGGCTGGCTCTGATGGCTGGCGGGTGCCTGAGCCTTCTGCAAGGGATCCTCAAACGCAGGAAAGCAGCTGACAGCAGAGGGAGAGATTAATAAAAAGCCCTGTCTCTACAGCCCCCAGTGACCCTGGCACCTAGCAGTGACATATCCACACGGGCACCCCCAAGGTGGCCTGCAGAACTGCTGGAGTGGCCCCAGGACCCCTCCGCTGCAGGGGGACCCCGTGCCAGCTTAGCTGCCCCCGGCCAAAGCTGCTGGAGGTGGCAAGCAGATGACAATGAGATTAGCAACATCAGCAAAATTAGCTCCTCTGAGGCAGATTTAACTCGGCTAAGCCCCACAAGGACGCTAGGCAAAGTGAATCTTTTGTTGTGGTGCAGAGTGTGGGCAGGGGCTCTGCAGACAAGCCAGGGTTGCCCCGAAACCACAGCGTGGGAGGGTTTGCCGTGGGGCAGAGGTACCCAGTGGTGTTCAGATGCACGCCTGCTTTTGGGAGATGCTGTGAGAGGCTGCTGCCAACACCGCAGGGCTAAACTCCCCCAGTCTTAGGCTGCTTTGGCCCAAACCTGCACCCAGGGTGGCTCTGGGGGAGGGCTTCTGCCACCAGCCATTGTTTGCCGGCACTGTGGGGGCTGTGAAGGACTTGGTCGTGCTTGAACCTGAGCAGCAGTCAAAGCCCAGGGGAGGAGAGGAGGGAGAGAAGTGCTGTAGTGCTCTGGTTTCCAAAACACGGCAAAAGCAGGCTGCCTCCTCCAAAACACTTCTCTATTTATGGCCTGGCAGCTGGTTCCCAAGGAGATGGCTGCACGGGCTGTCACTTGGGCTGGGGTGATAAAAGGAGGAACAGGCGGTGGTGTAAGCCTGGGTTGGAAGGAATGCTTTTCTGGAGGCCTTTCAGGCTGCAGGACCCCCGAGGGAAGAGATGGGGCAGGACTTGGTGCCTGGGTCACAGTTTGGTCCCTGTGGCCTCAGCACTGCTGCAAAGAGCTGGGCTTTGGGGGAGAAAGCAGCAAGCAGGGGGGGTACAACCACCTTGACCCTCATAGGAGCACCCATAATGGGAACAGGAGGGTGCTGGGAGCCCTGCGTGAGCATCTCCACTGTCAGAGCTCCCTGGGCATCTGGGACGCTCTGGGATGAGCAGGGCTGTCCCTCGGGGAGGGGAGTGGGAGCCGCCTCAGGGCTGGGTCAGCTGGACCCCAGTGATTTGGAGGTGATGGGGACAGGTGATCCAGACCCTCACAGACCCCCCGTCTTGCATGTCTCTGCTCAGGACTGGGTCTCCTCCTTCTGCAGTAGGCCCCTATGGGGTCTTCCCTCTGGGATGCCAAGCCCCGGGGCAGCCGCAGCTCCCCCAAGGGACTGGGCACTAAAATCCCTGTATGGGCTCTGCCAGCCTGACACCGGCCTCGGAGCTGCTGGTATGTGCAGGCGGGGAGGATCCATGCCTGAACAGAGACTGGTAAAATGGGGGAGAACACCCCAAACAGGGAAAACAAGGAAACTCACACAGCATCCTGGCTGGGTAATTCCCCCTCAGGGCAATCCGGGGCTGTGCTCCATGGACAAGTCTCCCGTCTCCAGCCTGAGCAGGAGCGAGAGTCCCCTGGACAGCATCTGCCTCAGTGAATCCGAGAAGACGGCCGTGCTGACGCTCATCAGAGAGGAGGTAACGGCTGGGGACCCTCTCCTCCCCGGGCACATCCTGGTGTGGCGCCCACCCTGAGGCTGCCCCTCGCCAGACCCCATCCTGGCTGCTGCTTTGGGGAGACAGGGGCAGCTCTGCTCTGCCCGGGGAGGGTCTGGTCCCTTGCGCATCACAAGCATGGGGCAGCGAGGGAAAACCACTCGGAGCACGTCTCAAGGGTCCTGTGTCTGCTGCAACCCAGATAATCACGAAGGAGATCGAAGCAAATGAGTGGAAGAAGAAATATGAAGAGAGCCGCCAGGAAGTCTTGGAGATGAGGTAAAAGCCTTCTCCTCGCACGTTCGCCTGCCCGCTGTGTGGTCCCCTTAGAGGTGGGTTAGCGGGGCCGTAATGGGATGATACGGCTCAGCGTCAGGGTGGAGGGTGGTAGAAGACATGTACTCTTTGTGCTTGTGCTGTGTTGAGTCTGCTGGTTCCTTTGTTGCAGGAATAAATCCCGTTAGCCATGCTGGAGGCAGCGGGGAGGTCTTGGTGTTGGAGCATGGAGAGCCAGGCTCTGCAGATGGAGCCCGGAGCTGCTGCTTGGGCTGGGAAAGAGGCAGCCCCGGGCTCTTTGTGGGCAGCAAAGAAACCGCTGCCTCTCCGCCTTTTTTTTTTTCCCCCCCCCTCCGTTTTTTAGGAAAATCGTGGCTGAGTACGAGAAGACCATTGCCCAGATGATAGGTGAGGTGCTGCCACCTGCCCAGTCGTGCGGGGGGCTGGCTGCCACGGCCTCCCCCACTCACCCTCTGTGTCCCCACTGTTCATTCTCCATCACAGAGGATGAGCAGAGGACAAACATGACATCTCAGAAGAACCTGCAGCAGCTCACGATGGAGAAGGACCAGGCGCTGGCAGACCTGAACTCGGTGGAGAGGTCCCTGTCGGATCTCTTCAGGAGATACGAGAACCTGAAGGGCGTCCTGGAAGGCTTTAAGAAGGTCCTTACCTCAGTTTGCTCTTCCTCCTGCAGCCCTGGTCCCTGGGTGCGGAGTTGGTGCAGCATTGCCCCCACCTTGCCCCGTGCTGCAGCTTTCCCAGTGCTGCTCCAAACGCCCCGGTGCTTGCTCAGAGGACCAGTCGCTTGCTTTCCCCTCCTTGCTTCCTGATAAACCAGCCAAGAGCCTTCCAAATACCAGAGGAAACTATTCTCCGTCCCCGCCCCAGCCCTGCGGCAGCGGAGCGTCGGGCCCCTGGGCAGAGCTGCAGCCAAGGGAAGAGCAGGTCCTGAAAAAGCCTGTCTCCATCTACACACAGTTTTTCCATGCTGCCGAGCTGGATACGGGGCTCCAACACAAGGGAGAAGCTGGGTTTATTTAAAGCCTTTTTGTTTTACACTCAGAACAGATCTCATCCCATCAGAGCAACATCTCTGTGCTCGCTCCCAATCCAGATGGATGTGTGTTTTTTTTTTGTTTCCCTCTCCCCCCCAGAATGAAGAAGCTCTGAAGAAGTGTGCTCAGGATTATTTAACCCGGGTCAAGCAAGAAGAGCAGCGGTATCAGGCCCTGAAAGTCCACGCAGAAGAAAAACTAGACAAGTACGGTCATGCAGGAGCTTGCTGGGTGTGCCGAGGAGCTCCCTGGGTGCTTCAGGGCCTCGTAGGGCAGCGTCTCGTTTTGGCTTCCCTGAGGTTGGAAGGCAGGAGCTTATTGATGTGAAAAGCTGCCTTTTACAAGCTCAGGGGACTTCGGGTGGCTCAGGAAGCCAGCACAAATCCCTGAATGGGTTCTCTGAACTCTTAGTTAGGTGGTTTGGTTTTGGTTTGGGTTTTTTTTTTTTTTGATGAAGAAACTGAGGTTCACGGTCTATTTACAGTCACTTAAGTTCCCACTTTTCAGAGGGCTCATGTTTGTGGTGTGGGAAGGGGTCAGGCAGCTACTGAGGCTCAGCTAAGGAGCAGCATCTCACCAACACCTGCTAGCCCTGAGCAAAATGGGTGAGGAACTTGGTTTAGCTTCTCCCTGAGAAAGCAGTTTCCATACGGGATTTTGGAGGAGCTGAATTAATCCAGTTTCATGCAGGTTTTCCATGTGGGAAAACCACCTGTGATGCGCCCAAGCAGGCAGGAACCGGGCTGTGCCGACGCCGGGTGCTCTAACATGGTGCTGGGGTGCTTCTCCTGCACCCAGACGTGACCAGCGTCCCCTTCTCTCCCGCCCCACGGCAGAGCCAACGAGGAGATCGCCCAGGTGCGCATGAAGGCCAAGGCGGAGAGCGCGGCGCTGCACGCCGGGCTGCGCAAGGAGCAGATGAAGGTGGAGTCCCTGGAGAGAGCGCTCCAGCAGAAGGTAAGGCGCCCGCCCTGCCTCCTCTCCGCTGGCTCCGTTTGCCCTGAGCATCCTCTGGCTGCTGGAGGTGGCCTTCAGATTTTTGGCCCAGAAATTGTTTTGTGGGGTTTTTTTGTGACTTTGCTTGAGCGTACGACTGTCTGCTCGCAGGGAAGGAGGTGCAGGCGGTGCCCAGGCGCAGGCACGGCTGAGTGCGGTGCCCTGGGTGCCCGTTCAGGGCTGGTGTGTGTTTGGCTGGCTGGGACCAGTGTCTGCTGTGCCCGCTGGCAGCATGTGGCCTGAGGAGAGCGCGGTGGGCTGCGGGTCTCTCTCATCACCAGGATCCGATGGGGATGAGGAGGGGTGAGCCCAGGGGTCCACACAGCACCTGGGTGATGCACAGAGGAGCCTTTGCAGGGGCAAGCGTGGGAGCTGGCTGCCCCTTCGTGCGCTGGCTCAGTGGAAGATGGGCCCAGGCCTTATCCCCCATCTGTGCCGCCACGGGGGTCCTCAGGGTCTGCTTTTCTTCCAGAATCAGGAGATTGAGGAGCTGACCAAGATCTGTGACGAGCTGATCGCGAAGCTGGGAAAGACAGACTGAGTCTCGCTGCCCCTCGCCCAGCACTCTGCACTCGGCCGCTTTTCCCGTAACGTCAAGCACCTTGCCTTATCCCCCAGGAAGCCCCCCGGCACGCGTGCCGCTGCCTACTCCGCTTGGCTGCTGGACCCCACGGCCCCCTGTGCAGAGCCGGTCCCCGCACTGTCCCTCTCTCCGTTTCCCAAGGGCTCTGGGGCCAGGTTTCCCGCGGTTGGGCTGGGCATGCATGTCCCTCCTGGGGTCAGCAGCAAGTGGCCCCTGTGCTGTCCATCTCTACGGATGCCACCTCTCAGCTGGGAGGTGACATCCTGGGCTCTGTCCCCCAGGGTGGGTCCAGTCATGCCCCTGTCACTTACTGTCCCCACATACTCAGTTGCACAGGTCCTGATAGGTCCTGTCCCGGGACACGGGCGATGCCAGGGTTGGAGCCACCGACTCTTGTACTGGGAAAGGGGATCTAGCCTGTAGGTGCGTGGGTGGGGAGGCAGTGAAGGGTCTTGGGGACCCCAGGCACCCATCACAGGTGGGTTGGGGCTGCTGGGGCGGATCCCCTGGCTGAAGCAGCCTCCAAGTAAATCAAATTTGGGGGAGGTAGCGGTATTCCAGGGGCTGGTCCCAGTCTCTGGCACACGGGTGAAACACAGCACAGCGCATCCTTGCCCCTGGCTGTGTCAGCCTCGGAGGAAGGAAGCAGATGTCTCTGCATTCGTGCACTTTATTAGCATTTCTGAGCACTCGGGCTCTGCTCACGGTCCCGCTACACGTCTCATTCCCCGGGAGCATAGATGTGGCCACTTCATCAGTAGTAACCTGTCCTCTCCCAGGAAAGCCCGGCCAAGGGGAGTGCAGGGGGGCTTTGGCACCAAAAGGTGTTTGGGAAACAGGGAAAATGTTGGTCCTGAAGAGCTGGGAGTTGTCCATCCTCCCCATGGCCTCCCTGCCGGCAGCCCTGGCACCTCCTGAGGCTTGTTAACGTGGGGTTTCCAGTCTGCTTTCAAATGCACGCAGCCAAGCCCCTTGCTGTTGGCTCCCCATGCCGTAGTGAGGTTAGTTCCCCACTTTGGAGATTGTAGGAGGAAGAAAGCAAACCCTGAACCACTTCACGATTCTGCTGACTTAAGGCTCTTTTCCCCAGCCAGCACAGAAAGGCAAGGAGTGCAGTACTGCCCCGGGTCTTGTGCTGCTGAAAAAAATGCCCTCACAGCGCTGAATATTAAGAGACCCAAACAAAAGCCAGCCTTTACAGGCAAAGGCAGATCCAGACAGCAGTAAAATAGGCTTTGAAATCCGTCTGGAGGCAGCCCAAAAGTTGACTTTCCATGCAGGCAGGCTGCCTGCTCTGTTTCAGAGGTGTTTACTTTTCTGGACACGCCAAGCTCCAGCAGAATTGCTGAGGTTGCCTTTGCACTGTGCTGGGAACCGGAGGGGCTCTGGGCGACGTGATGTGTTTAAACCCATGTGTGCCCTCCTGGTGATGCCGTTGCATGAACCAGCCTTGCCCGGTGCGTTTTGCCGCTGGGCAGCTCCGCGTTTTCCTGGCTGTATTGGCACCCACGAGCAGTATCCGGCGGCTGTGGGCGTGCTGTGGGCCGGGTGTGCTGGCCCTCGGGGTCAGTGCAGAGCCATCCCATCCTGCACCTCGGTGGGATCGGGCAGTAGCTGCAGTGGCGGAGGATTCTCTGCTGTCACCTCGAGCAGATAGTCGTAAAGCATCACGTAAGGGAAATATTTGCTGCTGGACTGTTTCCTACCCAGCCTAAGACTTTTGCAAACCTTTTTGCTGCTACCATTTTTGTAAAAGAATTGAGCAGTTTTCCTTCTATTTTCTAATTCCCTGTGTTGAGCATGCAGTGCAAACATCTGTTTAAAGCAGAGCCATACACTTGATATATATTTTATTAGTTATATTATGTATAGAGAGAATTTATTGTACGCTTCAGCAGACAATGATGCCGGCAGCCTGCCCTGGCACGCAGAGTCCGGGAGCATTCACCACACTCCCAGTTATCCCAGTGAATGTGGAAGCCGATGGCTGATACCGCTGGGAGCTGGGTCGGCTGTGTGCTGAATATTCACCCCTTTGCACAGCTGAGAAAGTAAAAACCTTTTTTTTTCTTCTTTATTCCTCTCCACACATCCCTCTAACGGGCTGGTAGAAGATGATCTACGAGGACTGTTTCTGTCTGGGGAGTCAAAACGCCAGCCCCAGCCCACAGTGACTCCCTTTCCCTCCGCTTCATCGGCATTTGGGTTTTGCAGACTAGCACTCCCCTCCTCCTCTTCTCCCTTATCCCACTCCAAAACAGCTTTCCTGCCTGGCTGTGAGTGACCCTTTCTAGGCTGGACTTTGGTGGGGTGCTGGTGGCTGACCCTAGGAGGTGCTGCACCCTGGGACCTTCAGAGGATCTGTAGTTAAATTAAACCCCTTGAGACCCTGGGATTTCTGAGGGAGTTGGGTTTTTATCTTTGTGGCTGTTCAGATAATCGAAGGGAGCAGGTCCCCAGAGCAGTATTGCGTGAGCTCGGAAAGGTCCCCAGAGCAGTATTGTGTGGGCTCGGAAAAGGTCGGTTTGGGGGTAATTTGGGGTTTGGCACACAGGTTTGTGCTCGTAGCCATGGTCGAGGCCCCAGCACGAGGCTGATGGAGCCAAAGCACAGGAGGCAGGTCCCGGGCAGCCCTCAGCCTCGTGCTCTGCGTGGGGACGCGCTGCTCGTGCGTTGGCTTTACACGAGGTGTAAATGCCCCAGGTCATCTGTGCGCTTCCCGCTTGGCCCAAAGGGATGAAATTTGGTTTCTGTGTGTGCTGTGGCCAGTGGGGATGATAAACCATGCCTGGGCCATGGTTCCTCATTCAGGGGGTCAGCTCTGAGCAGCACAGCAACCAGCTCGGGGCATTGGGCTCGCTGGGAGCCTGGAGCACGTTTGGGCTTGGTCTCTGCAGGGGTGGCAGGTGAAGCTTCGATTTCACCACTCTCAGCACTGACCCAGACCCCCAGCCTCGTGCAGCGTGGATGACGCTGCAT